ATCGCGACAGGCCTACTCTTACCGTCACCACACACACACACACACAAGTACACGGTGTAGTATAGTCATAACACTATACACTGTGTCCATGCTCTTAGTCAAAGTACACAGGTTAGTATTCTCTAATGAAGCATTATACAAAAATTTTAACTTCAACCATTTGGACCAAAAGGATTTGTAAGGAAGAGTTAGATTTTTGAACAGCTTTTCTGTAGTTTATATTTGTCATTTTAGTGTTTTTAATACATTTATTAGAAATAAAGTTTTTGGCAAGTCTCGAGTCAGATATAGTCATAAAAATATTTAACAATCTCCATAACTTTTCAGTGCAAACACAATATGTATGTATGTACTAAATATACCAAATATGTCTTTTGTACTGCACTAAATAACTTAACTATTCTCTATTAAAATAGTTATTTCTTTCAAAAACATTATATTATTTAGACAGCTCATGTAATCATTTATACTATTTATTCTTCATATTTGACCATTTATTGAATCACAGAGCAGTTCAGTCACAGTATGGCTCTAAAYATAAGCACACTATATTATTGTGAAGAAATAAATTTGTAGATATTTATGATAAACTACAATAAGAACACAGCGGGTTTTTGGCGTGGTGGTGGGTACACTAAGCGGASACTAGTCTTTTCTATAATATAGGGCAAACAAATGTTCATCTTTTAGAGTTAATGTTGTTTCATTGGGAGAACTGAAACAGTGGCTCAGCCTGTGTACACCTCGCTCCCATAACAGCGCTGTCGACGAGGAGAGTTTGGTCACGCGAGCAAAGTTGGACATAATCTGTTTGAYAACGAAGCTCTGAACACATAAACTTATAGTCTGTTAGATTTTAGATACCAACGTCTCAGGTAGCTCGGGGGCGAAGTGTGAAGGACGGGGTTTGCTCGCTCAGGAGCCAAGCTGCAGGCTGACYGGTGTTTATCCTGCAGACTGCTGCACCGACATCAGAAAGACCTGCCCTGCTCTGCTCTGATTGGATAAAGCTGTGGGGTTCGTTTGATTTGTTGAAAGCAACGTCTGTTTAAACCTGTATCAGACTGGGCAGCTTTAACAAGACCGCAACAGGAAACAAGCACGTTTCTCTTTTCCTCATTTTTTTAAAAAAACGAAAATACCGACATGGGCAAAATGTCGTCTGTTATTGTCATAAATGTCGGTTTATCACCCAGGCCTAACATACAGYACACTAAACGTCAACATCTAAATGTATTGTCAATAAAATGTATCTGYACTGGACGTCACATTCAGATAAAAGGCATGGATGTTTTGTGTTTTTGTCTTCCAGGGTGCTTCTATTCTCCTGATGCTCAATGCTTTCTTGCCAGGAAATCAGCAGTTCCGAAAGGGYATCATTCAATACCTAAAGCAGTTTAGTGGATCAAATACAGAAACTGCTGACCTCTGGAACAGCCTCGCGCAGGTTTTTGTATAATTATCAATATTCATCAAGCAATTTTTGTGCATTACTGTGTTACGTAATTTATGATGTCCCTGTTTTATTGTTGTCTTGCGTTAATCATCTTGTAATCTTCAGGGCTTAGCACAGAAATACTGCAGCATAAATATTAAAAACAAAAACGTTTTAAGCTCGTTGGCCTCAGCTGAAGTTTAATCCTGTTTCCCATGCTGCCCAATGATGTTTAACTTTACTCTAGTCTTACATTTATGTGTCAGTCACTTCCTAAAAATCTGTAAACAAGAATGTTTCACTTTTAGCCATTTATATGGATTTGAAGGATGTTGAATAGATTAAATCAATTTTTTTCACAATTTCGATACAATAAAAGTGGCATCAGTTTGTAGAGAGAGACTAAATGTTTTCTTTTATCTGCACATTAAGGTGTCCACGCAGCACCAGAATATATCAAAGATGATGACCTCATGGACGTCACAGAAAGGCTTCCCACTGGTCACTGTAAGCCGTAAGGGGGATCAGGTGATCCTCACACAGGAGCCCTTCATGCTCACCTCTGACAACACGGTGCACAGTTCCAGGTGGGTTTCAATCCTGCACACAGACGTGAGAAACACAACATAATCCTAACGGTGCTGTCTTTGTTTAGCTTGTGGAACATACCGGTCACGTATGTAAACGACAGCTGTAGTTTGGCCTCTGACTGCAGGCAGGTGTTCACGCTGGAGTCCAAGACGGGTAAAATACGAAACGCCAACCTTCCACGTGAAATGTCGGTGTTAAAGTTGCCATGTGAAACTGCATGTTTGTGTTTTAGGAACTCTGAACGTGTTAAAAAGTGTGAAGTGGCTGAAGTTAAACTACAAGAACACAGGTTTCTACATTGTCGACTATGATGAAGAAGGCTGGAATGCTCTTATTGATGCTTTGCTCACAGATTTCAATGTTCTGACACCTGAAGATCGAGCCTCACTCATACACAACATCTTTGCCCTCTCCAGGTATAAATAAAACTGAACAGTTTTTTTTTTTTTTTTTTCTTACAGTTTGGTGATTTAAAACAAGGGGAACCTTACCCAGTACTGACTTATATTTTTTCGTTTTTCCTCACCGCTATGTTTTGCCAACAGACTGGGACGTGTTTCTTTCAGTAAAGTCATCAGCCTGTTGAGCTACATATCTAAAGAAACGGAGACTTCTCCTGTGGTAGAAGCTCTGCTGCAGCTCAACAACATCTACAGGCTGCTTGATAAAAGACAAGAGTTTGAACTCGTAGCTCGTATGAAGGTATGCTTCAGTGTAAACGTTTATGCACCTGTGGTCAAAGTCACGATTGCCACGTTCCCATTAACCTAAGCTAAATGTGTTTTTGACAATAAACTTGGGCTATATAAGATTGTTTTTATCTGTAAGTCCTAAAGTTTATTCATTAGGATGTACAAATTCAAAGTTTTAATTCTACATTACTTCATTTAAAGGCACAGTGTGTAGGATTTGTTGTTTTCAGTGACATCTAGTGGTTGAGTGGTTGAATCATCCTCCCTGGTTCCCCCCCACCCTCCACTTCCAAACGCAAAGGAGTTGCTACGGTGTCTCTCAGGTGTCAAAAACCTTTGATAATTCCAACTACGATGTCTACCAGCAGCTTCAGGGCTAGTGATGTTTCAAGTGGTAAGATTATGAGCTTTAATAAGTAAAATTATCCCAGCTACAATGACAGACAACAAATATTACATTTATAGTATTACAACTAAAACCATTTTTGACACCGCCACCGCAGTTTGTCCTTCATGAGCCTTCGTAGATAAGATTGCGGTGCAAGATGGCGGCTGCCTGTAGTGGCGACCCGCGACCATGGAGATATAAACAGCTTTTTATAAGGTGAAAATAATAAAACAAGGTCTTTGTCTGCAATGATTAGACATGTTTTTTTATTGTCATTAGTGATTATCTCAATTTCGGCTAAAAGACTTGACAAAATCCTACACACTGTGCCTTTAATATTCAGTAGTGTAAGATACGGTGAGGTTAAGTCATAGACAGGTTTTTATGTGGGCTAATGTATTTAAGACCAGAGCTGTAAAGTAACTAAGTACAAATACTTTGTTACTGTACTTAAGTAGAAAATTTGGTTATCTGCACTTGAGTATTTTCAGCATACTTTTTACTTCTACTCCTTACATTTTTACACAGTTATCTGTACTTTCTACTCCTTACATTTTTACACAGTTATCTGTACTTTCTACTCCTTACATTTTTTAAAAAGGTAAGAAGTAGAAAGTCATTTCTCCTATTTCATTTCTGCTTGTTATTGTTTAAAAAATACTATCCTGAAAAATTGTGGCTCCTAGATAGTGAATGTAATCGTGGTTGGATGAGAAGTATAAATATATACCATTCTGATACTGTATTTAGTTTGTACATAATCCATCAAAGCTGCACACCTTTAGAAAAAATATTTTTTGAAGAGGCCACCTCCCAATAAATGTATTTTGGAAAATCTAACCGTTCATTTTTACTCAGTACTTTTACTTTTATTACTTAAGTATATTTTATGTCAGAAATTTACTTTTGATACTTAAGTACAAAATAAATCAGATGCTTTAAAACTTTTACTAAAGTAATATTCTTAAAGGAGACTTTAACTTTTACCAAAGTAGTTTTATGATAAGATACTTGTACTTTTACTCAAGTATCACTTTCAGGTACTTTATACAACAGTTTGACTATTATTTATGTACCTTATTTCTCTTAAATGTAACAGGCTTTCATTAAGAGCCATTTCGGCCCTCTGATGAGCTCACAAACGTGGGAGGAGAAGCAGAGTGTGTCCGAACAGGAGCTACGTGCAGCACTTCTCATGACAGCCTGTAATCTGAAGCATGATAATTGTACTCAACAAGCCAAAGACATATTCACACAATATATCAACTCCAACGGCACGTACAGGTGAGAGGTGATGGCAGCTAGATGATCTACTGTACGAACAGACACRATAATTAGGTCAAAGCTTGATGAGAATTAGGTGAATGAGCTGCAGCAGGAAACCTTGAGCAGTTGTGACCAAAACATCTATATTTGCAGGATTCCAGGCGATCTGCAGAAAGTCGTCTTCACAGTGGCTGCTCAGTCAGAGGAAGGCTGGTCGACTTTGTTCGGCTTGTACTCACATGCCATCTACGATGCAGAAAAGCGAAAGATGCTTCAAGGCCTCGCATCTACTCKGGACGCACACAGTATTGCGTGGTAAGTGTTTACATGTGTCCCTGTTGATTAATTTACAACTTTAAATCCACAGCGGCCYAGGGTGTAGCAGGCAGCTTATTTACTCTCAAGTGTGAAACAACCCACRTTGAGTGAGCAGCGTTTAACGTTTTATTACGATCTGTCCAGGATTCTCAAGGAAAGTCTTAAAGGGGAACAAATTCAGACCCAAGAGATGCATCTGATCATCAGAACGATGTGTCAGAACTTTGCTGGCTATTTGATTGTCTGGGATTTTATYCAAGTGAACTGGGACCGCCTCATAGAGAAGTAAGTAATAGCCTCATCACTTCTATCCCTGAAGACTTTTTTTTATTTCTTCAATAATAAATGAGCTGAAAATGAAAAGATAAGCGTGTCATTAGAGTTTTTACACGTCTGGTTGTAGGTTTCCTCTCGGCTCTTACGCCATCCAGACCATCGTCAAATCTGCTACCTCGCAGTTCTCCACTCAGGCACACCTTGATCAGGTACGTTTTAAAGTCTTTTTGCTGTTTGTCACATTCATGAGRGAGGTGTACACAATTAAAATTTTTATTTTATTTTTTRTGTGTGTCGCGCAGGTCCAGACCTTCTTCTCTAGTCTGAAGGAGCGCGGCTCTCAGATGAGGAGCGTTCAAGAAGCTCTGGAAACCATCAGGCTGAACCAGCGCTGGATGGATGAGAACTTGTCTACACTGAAAACCATTCTCTAGTTAAGGCWCCTCCAGCCGTCTCCACCCCAATAACAATCAAACTGGGTGTGTTTTCAGGACAGGAGCAGTGTTTGCACTATTGTTGGACTCGATCCCTGAACTCCCCACATCCAGACTGGAGCAGTAATCGTCAGTGACGGTTGTGCTCTAGCTGGGCATGAAGGAGTGTTGGGAGTTTTTGAGTCCTATGAGTTGTACTTGATAGCTCAGGGTGGCTCTGATTGTGTGTCTGACGTGGTACTGTCAGACCCAACACACACACACACACACACACACACACACACACTCCTCATGTATTTTATGCTGTCGACCAAACCTCCTCTGCAGTTTTCATTTAAGCCTCACGCCTGAGCCGACAATCATACTTCAGACGAACTCCTTTAGTCCTCAGATCTCAGGCACCAGACCAYGAGAGATGTCACATGGCTTCTTTACAAATCAAAAGTATGATGAATGTTATTGTTACTGTCTGCCAAACGGTGCAGCTTTTTAGCATTTTTTTAGCAAAACTTAACAGAAATTATTGCTGCTTGAAAAATCCTTAGTGTTAAATTAACATTGAGTCGAGTCACTCTAAACTATTCATGCAGGCTGAGGCGGTTGCTTTATTYGTCATGACTGAGTTGGGTTAGATAATTCTGTGACGTAAAATACCAAACACGTKTTGGCATTTGTTGAATGTACTAGATAACCTTCCCACTGTGTAACAGTAGAAATTGTACAAAAAAAAAAAACAGTGCAGGTTTAAACCAACCAATGTGTCTTAGGTGAGAACAGGCAGTGATCACTGGAGCCAAAGGGTCTCTTTTTCTCTCTCCCCCCTCCCTCCTACAGCCATAAACCCTGATCAACATGCTTTACTTTTAATAGCTTTTTGTTGTTTTGCAGTGCATTTGCTGCTCCAGCTCATACGTTCTCACCACATGCTTGTAAAGTTGTAATTATAATGTAAAAAAAAAAATATGTCAAACCTGTGTTTTTGAAAGTACTGTTTTAAAAATACTGACTTAACAATTTAATTTTTTTTCTGTTGTGTGTGTGTATATAGTGTAAAGCGTAGGGGGAAAATATTTTAGGTTTAGGGCAAAGCTCCTTTTTATTTTATTTTTATTTTTATTCAAACAAGCCAGAAGGAAGTCCTTTATATTACGTTCTGTTCTAAGGGCTAACCTGCTCACCTGTTCATAGCTGTTTAGAAGTTGTTGATTTTAGCCAAGCAGTTGGTTTTTCTCATGTTAACCAACCATGTTACCCCTCAGAGTTAGCTAAATATGAGGTGTTATTACATGTATGTCATGTTTGCTTTAGGATGTGAAGACATCTGAAGTGGTACGTTTTCAGATGACTTTCCTTTTACCCTGATGAAGTGTGTTCTTYGGTTCTTTCATTAGTCATGTTTTTATATGTGTCATGTATGTGAAAACTGTTTTTGTACAGRATAATGAATGCCACTCACTTATACAAAGGTAGGTGCATGAGATTAGTTTGACTCTCTCGTTAACGGTACCTTCAGAGAAGACTTTGTTCTGATAGTGATGAGTTGGGGATTATTGGATCCTTTAAGAAGCACACTGACTTCAGGGAGGGGAGGTAGAAAACAAGTGGTACCATTCAAGTCCGTTTAAAAAAAAATCAGTATTTCCTCTCATTTGATTATGTTCTCACAGCTTTAAAAAGCAACAACTTCAGTCTCATATTCATATAGCCCAGCTTGGTTCATCCAGTTTTACTTTTTGCAGGTTTTCTTTCTTTGGTACTTTTCCTCAGTGTTGTAAGCTTATAACAGAACACGTTATGTGCAGCAAACTCACAGTCTTTGTTTTTGCACTGACATGCTTTGGTTTTGTGTTTATTTCCATACGGAAAAAAAAAAACATTTTGAAAAGCTTTGGGTTTGTAATGAATTAGACCTGATTTTTTTTAATTATCATTTGTTTCCTGTCACTAACGGACAGAAGTTAAACTTTCTGTGTTTTACCAGCTTTAATGATTCAAAACGATGATCAACACTGACACTCCAAATAAAATGAAGCTGCGTCCAAATTTTCTCTGGTGTTACTTGTCAAAAACTGTAAAGTATGCTGCCTCTACAAATTAAAAAAATAAACATTTTATGAACCACCTTTAGCTTTGATAAAAACATGCCTTTGCTCTGGCATTTGGATGAAGTTCCACATCTGTTGAAAGTTGCCCAGGTTTAGACTTTGATCTTTGATTAAGGCACCTGTATTTATTTATTTTTAAAAATCTAATTATTTTATGATTCAAAATGTCAAAAACTGCATTTTAAATCACACAACCAGATAAATTCTGTTAAAACAAGGACAAAATATGAAATTTCTGCTGGTTCTTTGCTGTGCTTCACCACCAGAGGGCGTTCTGGCTCTTCTGGAAGCTGAGCACATCAGCCCTTAAAGCCACCCTGACCCTGAGAGACCACCCGACTGATCTGTGACCTCAGCTGACCTCTGACTAAATCTTCCTCCTGTTTCCACCGGGAGAGCCTCCTGAGGGAACTCGGTTCCCAGAGGTTATGAGTTTCTCTTGTCTGATAAATGATTAGTTATTTCTGTTGGCTATTTGCCATAAATTCAGAGGTCTATAATGTCCGGTCAGTTTAAAGTATATTTTCAGGTTCCATATTTATTTTCATTTCCAAATTCTCTGATTTATAATCCTAAAATTCATCATGTTAAAACATTTTGTTTGCATGAAGTAGATTGAATCCACATTATCTGGGTGTAAAGTCATAGATTTCCCTATTTAATGAATCTTTTCTTAATTTTCTCAATTTTTTTTCTTAATGTTCAGAATTACAATTATTGGTCCCCTCCTTTTAAATTATACAAAAAACTAAAAATGTAAGCCTTTGTTCTGAAAAAGCAAAACATCACTGAATTTTTTTTATCTTTTGCAGGCTTTATCTGGATTGCAAGTACCTAAAAACTTCATAATTAAAGGTTTATCTTATGATGAGAAAYGATGAAGTTGTAGCTGTAGTTCTCAGATGGGTCAGCGCTCCATGAATATGTTGTGAACGACTCTCAGCTACCACAGCACTTTTATTAACTGGGTTTGCTTTAAACGGTCCAGTAAGAATATTAAAACAAGTTTATCTGGAGTAAAAGCGCACATGCTCTGTTTATATYCCAGGAAATGTGTGCAAGGTGTACTAAAGGTGTGAGGTTTGCTGGGTCAGCCTGACATGAAAAAAAAAAAATCTGTGAAGAAGGTTTTGAAGATAAACGCCCTGATTTGTCCACCAATTTAGATTTTGGCATTTTCTCTGTCCAGATGACTGTGTCGTTAAAAAAAACTTTTTTCTGAGAGTCTGCTCTTCTTAAAGAAAATATAATAATGTAATATAAAGAAATCAGCTTCTACTTTTTCAAGGCTCTATACGTTTACGTTATAAATCTTGCAGCCACCATCTTCTTCTTGGTTGGTGCAACTCTTGATCAGTTAAACCCACGCAGTGACGTATTTCCAGCTGCTTCCTTACTGCTGATATGATCTCCCATAATCAATGTGTCAGTCACTGTTTTTTGCACTCTCTATGACAAACTTTACTGGATGCACATCAACCATCTGAACAATGTGACCCATCTAAAAGGTCACGGTGACTTTATCAGCCTCATTCACGTCACGGTCACCTCAGCAGCTTCTGTCAGATTAACCAGAAAGATGTAACTTGACTGATGACCGATACTGAAAAACTCAAAATACTGAATCAACCTGATGAGATTATGACTTGTTAGACCTGCTGTAAACATGCAAGCATTTGCTGGTTTGGTGCTGTATGGTTTGATGATTGACTGAGTATTTATCGCCAGCTGTTGAACGCCACATTCTTTATGCCTCGGCCTGTGTGTGTGTGTGTGCACATGTATACATTTGCAAAATATCTCATGAACTTATAATTAAACTATCGTAAATTCATCTCCAGATGTTCGTCTACAGCTGAATACCTTTGGAGTCAGTCTGTTACAAGAAAGCCACCACAGCTAAGCAAACCTAGCAAGCAGAAAAATGGCTACAACGCAGTAAGTTTAACAGACATTGGGCTTAAAGTTTGTATGTTAGTAGCTGAGAGTCATTCAGATCATATACTCTGAAGGCTAACACACTACATTTTGCAACATTGTGCATAAAGTTGTTTTTAAAATGTAACCAAACTCAGTTATTGCTCAACATAAGATAATCTTAGTCTAAAACTCAGACATAAACATCAGGACTTTCATTTTATTATGAGTTTTCAGCTGTGTTTTGTTWGAAAATTGCTGTTTCTGTAATGACACTTTTGTTTCCAACTCATTATGAAACTTTTGGTTTTACTCAGCATGACTGATTTTAGTTGAACAAAACTGCTTCCCTCAAGGAAGTTAGATAAGGTGCTTCCAGATTTCGATTACCTTTATCTCGCTGAAATGTTTAGGTTAGGAATATAATATAATAACCGAGCCCCACAACAATAAACCTGCACCAAATTAAATAAATAAATAAACCAGACAAAATGTTTTTTAAGAGACAGTAAAAAAACAGAAGAGGGGCGTGAATTCAGCTCATAAAATGAATACACTTGGGATCCARAAGCAGCAAATATCTGATGAGATCTTGTGTTGTATAACTTCTTGTAATTACCTAAATGACCACAGAGAACACAATTAAACTCATCCTGGAACATGTGCCGTTTCCTTTGGATAAAACCTGAGCTTTCCTGTGAACGCAAATGAAAGGGTGAAGAAAAAGTCTTGAAATGTGTTCACTTGTCACTTATGAAATTTTATTTGTTTTTCATGGGCACYGTCCCAGTTATTGTAAATAATGTGGTGTTCTGTTAGCAGATAGCTGATTTCTGTCAAACTTATGCATCTCAGCTCAATGAAATCCATGTTAACATCAGGTAGATATTGTTTATTAGGGAATGGCATAAATTTCTAAAACCTTGGTCAGATTTTTCGGAACCATTGTTTCCAGAACCTGGAAAAGAGAAACAGGTAAATGCACGGTTGAGTGTTTATTCTAAGAAATGTATTAAAAGGTTACCCTCAGTTCTGCACCCTGGCTATGGGTCCAACAATGTTTCTGAGACAAAAACACATTCAGATGTTACAAACTAAGATTCTTTTGTTAAGACATAGTTAACAAAAGAATCAGATTCATCTCTGTAGTTCTAAATGTCCTGATGCATCTCAGTAAACCAGGTAGAAAAATAAAAAATAAGTAAGTCTTCTGGATGGGTTCTTCTTTAATGA